TGGTATTAGCATCGCCGAACCCCTATTAACACCACGCTGGGGTTTACAACTTACCATAAACTGAACTGGATCAACAATATAAATACTGGAGTTAAAAGATCAGATCAGACACTGGGAATTGTGGGAATAACTCACCTCTAGACTCCACAATGCCTGTCCACAACCTATAAGGCATAAATCTACTGTGTGATGGAGTATAGCCCCAATAAAACTCAAGGACATTGACACCAACCTCACACCATTCTGACTTGCAACAACATCACCATTCCTTCACTCTCATTGAGTCAAAATCTTGGAACTCCCTTTCTAGTAGCGCTGTTGGTACACCCCAAGGTCTGCAGTGGGTTCAGGAAAGTGGTTCACAACTATCTTCTAAAAAGTAATTAAGAAAAGGCAACAAATGTTGACGAAGGCATTGACGCTCACATCAAATGCAAGAATAAATTTTAAAAATTGCTGGTTTTTAGGCCAAGGAGAAGAAGCTTTACTCCAGTTAGAACTGTTTCAAACTGCTCAAACCTGTTCTTTTCCTTAATTTACTCAGCAGATGTGAGCTTCACTGACTGGGCAGAAATATATCTTTCTCCAGTTGTTCATCTTGATGAACATAATGTCACAGTAAAAAATAAAGAACAATAAATCAGTAGCCTATCTTTCAGACTTTGTAATGTTTAACAGTAACAAATTAGTTCCTTAGTTATTAATTTTAAAAATCTACTTCACAATTTGTACCTTTTGGCTGTAACCATGAAAATTGCTGACAGATTTGAATATTTTTGGTCCAGGCAGAAGACTAATCTGTGATCATTCCTGGCTAATGCAGAGGTGTGTATAGCCGCAGCCAACATGTCTCTATTTCTATGAAAGTGCAAAACAAAAATCAAAATAGCTATCTGGTTTTCAACCTTTGAGTCCACCAGTACTGCTCCAGAACTAGAACTTCATACTCATTTCTATAGGAGAATATCAAATTGCAAAATCACAAATGTCATCATACTTATTTAGTTCATCTCTATGGTAAAGCTCCTGTGGTGACAGCTCACTGCAGTTGCACTGCACATTTTCCAGCAATTAGGTAAACACTGATGGACAGTTTCACCCAAACCTGATAAGGATACCACACTTCTGCTCGCTTTTTTCTTGTATATCATGTGATTTGAACACGTGATTTTAGTCTAAACATTTTTATGCTAAGATTGTCCAATGTGAACTGGACCTAAAATCTAGAGTCATGCTAGGGCCACATTACCTGCAAGTCATTATTTATGTCCTAATTATGAATTTTAAAATACAACTAACATCCATAACTTGGCTGCCAGGGTGACAAGTAGTAGGAAATGCAGCATCAAATTAGAATACAGTTTGAACATTTTTACTGCAATTGTTCTGAAGATGTGAAGACCAGACCATGTGGAAATTCCACAGAGTGAGTAATGTTCCAGCTACTTAGTTAATTATTGAGCCCATTATTTGAAACAATCTAAAAATATGGAAAGTTTCAAACACTTCTTTTCCTCCCAAATCTGTATCATCTTAAAAAAAACTGATATTACAGATAAATGCAACTGAAAACAGCATAACTAAGAAATTAATAATGGACCAGTCCATACCATTCATGCAACATGTACTGTAATTCTAAGTATGAATGCTCCTATGTCTGCAAAGCCATTTAAGTTTTTTTTTCTTTATTCATTCATGGGATGAGGGCATTGCTGGCTAGGCAGCATTTATTGCCCATCCCTAATTGCCCAGAGGGCAGTTAAGAGTCAACCACATTGCTATGTGGTCTGGAGTCACATGTAGGCCAGACCAGGTAAGGATGGCAGTTTCCTTCCCTAAAGGGCATTAGTGAACCAGATGGGTTTTTCCTGACAATCGACAATGGATTTGTAGTCACTGTTAGATTCTTAATTCCAGATATTTACTAAATTCAAATACCACCATCTGCCATGGCAGGATTCGAACCCAGGTCCCCAGAATATTATCTAGGTCTCTAGATTGACAGTCCAGCAATAATACCGCTAGGCCATTGCCTCCCCCTGTAGCTGACATCATTCTTTATTGAGCACTATATTGTGAATTCATTCATGCAAACCTCAACTGAGTTTCAGAGACAATTACTACAACATTGAAGTAAATAATCTATCTTTCCTTTCTAATCGTTTTCTAATACATGATGTAGGACTGTCCTCTTGTGCTACCTCACATGGATGTGAGAGAAACACATGTCTAAGATCCAAGAAAAAGAGTAAAATTTGTTTTCATATAATTTATTATGACTGTCAAAAAATCTCAGTTTGCTTCACATAACTGCGCTTAACAATGCTATCCCAAACATCAGTGAACAACGATAAAAACAGAAGGTTATGCAGCATCCACGTGGACAGAGAAACAGAGATAATACTTCAGGTCAGCAACCTTTCATCAGAACTGACAGAAGTTACAGATGTAATAGGTTTTGTGCAAGGGATGGGTAGTAAAAGGACTAAAAGACAGTGGGCAGGATCTTCTCTGTCGGCTTCAGAACCTTGCTGCTGTGGTCAAATGGGAGTTAGAAGCCTTCACTATGTGGGCGACAGTCAGCTAGCTTTGACTTTCTCTGAACTGGCCAATTGATGGCTAATGGGTGGGCATGCCACCAAATTAAGCTGAGTGGGTTAGCTCTGGAAGCTGTGGGTCTTTGGGGACCACCCTGCGCTGAAAATGCAGCAGGCTGCTTCTCCAGGAAACTGAGTGAAGCACCTTCTCTTCAATATTTTTAATATTAAATTAAACAATGACCTCAGCAGAAGGCAGCCTCCAATTGCAATTGAAACCAGGCAGTCAGGAAGACCTAGCATGCCTATCTGGAGTGATGCACCATACACCACCCAGGTCTGCTACTGGGAAGCTACTTCCAGGTGTTTCACTGTTCCCTGGTACCTCCAGAAACCTAGAGACTAAGCAGAAAGTTCCATTTGGACTCCAGTAAAAGGCCTTATTAGTCCTCTACTGAGATAAGTTGCCATACCACCATACCACCTCATGGAAATTTAAAGACCTGTCAGTCTCAGCAAAAGGGACAGCCAAGTTATGGATTGCTTCAAAAATCCATCTGGTTCACAAATGTTCTTTAGGCAAGTTAAACTGGCATCTTTAACTGGTGTGGCCAAATGTGATTCCAGATCCAGATCAATGTGGTTGATTCTTAAGTATCCTGTGAAATGGCTTTATGAGCCAGTCAGTTCAAAGGCAATTAGGGAAGGGCAATGAATGCTGTCCTTGCCAGCATCAGCTACATTCCATGAAATAATTAAGAATGAAATGGATTATCCCCATAAAGTTTACAATGGGCACTTCAGCAAATTGTAATCATCCTGAATGTCAAGTGATGTTGTCTTACTGGAGATTGTTAAAGCCTGGCACTCGTGTGGCATGGATGTTCAGTCCTACTAGGAGATGCCACAGAAAGCTGTGGAGGCCAGGTCATTGAGTACATTTAAGACTGAGATAGATAGGTTCTTAATTATCAAGGGGATCAAGAGATACAGGGAGAAAGCAGGAGAACGGGGTTGAGGAACTTATCAGACATGATTGAATGGCGGAGCAGACTCGATGGGCTGAATGGCCTAATTTCTGCTTCTATGTCTTATGGTCTTATGGAGATGTTGGTGCACTTGACAATAGGGGTTGGAAAGTTATTTCCTATTTCCCCCAACCGCCTTTTTTTGCATCTCCATAGAGAATGCATAGCTGCTGGCAACTGTGAAATATTGGGATCATGTTGCTTATTTGTACTCCAGACAAACCTGATAATTTCCTGTCCACCTTTTTTTTTATGTTACTGTGTGTCATGGCAGAGACACTAAGGATTCAGTATAATACCTTCGTTTAAAAAACGTAGGTGGATTTTTTTCCGCCTTTTAAGTAATGTACATTTTGATCAAAGATAGTAGGAACTGCAGATGCTGGAGAATCCGACACAACTAGGTGCAGGGCTGGATGAACACAGCAGGCCAAGCAGCATCATAGGAGCAGAGAGGCTGACGTTTCGGGCCTAGACCCTTCATCAGAAAAGGGGGAGGGGAAGGGGGTTGTGAAATAAATAGGGAGAGAGTGGGAG